ACTTACACAACTCAACACCCCAAAAACAAATAACCCAATTAAAAAATGGGCGGAAGACATGAACAGACATTTCTCCAAAGAAGATATCCAGATGGCCAACAGACACATGAAAAGATGCTCATAATCACTCATCATCAGGAAATGCAAATCAAAACCACAATGAGATATCATCTCATACCTGTCAGATGGTTAAAATAAAAACACAAGAAACAAGTATTAGCAAGGCTGTGGAGAAAAAGGAACCCTCATGCACTGTTGGTGGGAAAGCAAACTGGTATAGCCACTGTGGAAAACAGTATGGTTCCTCAAAAAAATTAAAAAATAGAATGAATATATGATCCCGTAATTCCAGTACTGGGTATTTACCCGAAGAATATGAAAACACTAATTTGAAAAGATATATGCACCCTTGTGTTTATAGCAGCATTATTTACAATAGCCAAATTATGAAAGCAGCCCAAGTGTCTATCAATAGATGAATGGATAAAGAAGATATGGTATCTAATACATATATATTCATACATACATATATGAATATTAGGCAGCTATAAAAATGAATGAAGTCTTGTCATTTGTAACAATATGGATGTGGTTCTAGAGAGTATTATGCTAAGTGAAATAGGTTAGTCAGAGAAAGACAAATACCATATGATATCACTCTTATGTGGAATTTAAGAAATAAAATGCACAAAGAATAAAAAACCAAACCAAAAAACAGATTTTTTTTTTCAAAAAACAGATTCTTAACTACAGAGCACACACTGATGGTTGCCTGAGGGTGGGTAGGGGATGGGTGAACTAAGTGAAGGGGATTAAGAGTACACTCATCATGATGAGCACCGGGTGCTGTATGAAAGTACTGAATCACCATATTGCACACCTGAAATTAATAGAACATTGTATGTTAACTATGCTGGAATTTAAAAAAGTTAACAATATATGTTGGAAATTGTTGTATGTCAGTACACATTGAGTTCATTCACTCTACTTCTATTCACTGCATAGAATTCCATTTTTTTAAACTCGTGCAGAGCACTCGACAAATCAATAAAAGAAGGTCAAACTACTTGATAGAAAGTTGGTGCCATAGGCTGAATGGTGTCTTCCCCAAGTTCATATCTTGAAGCCCTAACTTCTAGCACCTCAGGATATGATTTTATTTGGATATAGGACTGTATTTGGAGACAGGAGTTGTTTTTTTTTTTAAGCACATATCTTTTATTTTTTAAAAGATTTTATTTATCATGAGAGACAGAGACAGAGAGAGAGAGAGGCAGAGACACAGGCAAAGGACTCGAACCCAGGACCCCGGGATCACGACCTGAGCAGAGGGCAGATGCTCAACCATTGAGCCACCGAGGTGTCCCAGAAATAATGGATTTTAAAAGTGATTCTGGGGATCCCTGGGTGGCGCAGCGGTTTGGCGCCTGCCTTTGGCCCAGGGCGCGATCCTGGAGACCCGGGATCGAATCCCACATCGGGTTCCTGGTGCATGGAGCCTGCTTCTCCCTCTGCCTGTGTCTCTGCCTCTCTCTCTCTGTGACTATCATAAGTAAATAAAAAAAATTAAAAAAAAATTAAAAAAAAATAAAAGTGATTCTGGTGAGGGCTCAGAAAGAAAAGAGGAGAGCCTTAGAGAAAGCTTCTACTATCCTAGAGTTATATATGTATTATCATGAACAGAATATTGGTAGAAATATGAACATTACAGGTGTTTCTGGTGAGGAATCAGGTGAAACTAAGGATGTGTTTGTTATTGAAAACTGGAGAAAGTGTGACACTTGTGCTCGAGTGGTGAAGAACTTAGGCAAATTGTGCTTTAGTGTTTTGTAGAAAGTAGAACATTTAAGTGGTAAACAAGTATTTGGCCAAGGAGATTTCTAAGCAAAGCATTGAGGGCACCGTGTGGTTTTTCCTTTCTGCTTGTAGTAAAATTTTGGAGGAGAGGCACACACTGCAGAAGGAAGTGCTGAGCAAGACAGAACCACCAGAACTTGAAAATTCGGGAAATTCTCAGGCTATCCGTATTACAAAAACTAAGAAAGCGTGTCTGGGGAGAACACTAAGGATGTGGCGAGGCAACATTTGCTAGAGAGATTACAACGTGGCTCATGGGTTAAGTCAGCTATCCCAGCAGAAATGCCGCCAGCGTGGACCAGAGGAACAGATGGGACAAAAAGAAGAAAGGCTGTCAGACTTGTGGGATTCTCCAGGATGGACCAATAGAGCTATTCAGCTGAGATCATGCCTTCTCCTTCAAGAAATGGGAAGAAGAGGCCTCAAGAACAGTTCGGAGTTTGATAGGGCTGCCACGGCCTTTGCCACCATGGGCTCAGAGGGGACAGACCCAGGGGAGTTGGTGGGGTGATGTCCTCCTGGGCGGGGTTCCTGCCCAGGGCCAAGGAGGTGGGGCTGCCACCCCAAGGGGGCCGAGAGGATAGAGCATAGAGCCAAGGACTGTTCTTGAAAACTAAAGTTTAATGGAACTTGACCTGCTAGGTTTCAGACTTGCCCTAGCAAGGCCCATGACTCCTTTCTTCTTTTCCATTGCTCCCTTTTGGAGTATGAATGTCTATCCTATGCCTGTCCTGTCATTATAGTTTGGAAATAGATAACTTGTTGGGTTTCAAATGTTCACAGCTGAGGAGGAATCTTGCCACAGGATGAATTATACCTCAGGTCTCACCCATAAAATCTTTAGGGGATATTTAGATAAGACTTTGGACTCCGCTAAGATGGCGGAATGCGTTAGTGCTAATGGGATGGCGCTAAGATGTGGGGATGTAGAGATAGAGTGAAAGTATTTTGCATGTGAGAAGGAAATAAGTTTTGGGGGGTGAGAGGGCAGACTATTATGTCTCATCATGTCCCCTCAAAATGCCTATGTTGAAGTCCTAATCCCTGGTACCTCAGGATGTGACTATATTTGGAGACAGAGCCTTTAATTATTTATTTTTTAAAGATTTTATTTATTTATTCATGAGAGACACAGAGAGAGAGGCAGAGACACAGGCAGAGGGAGAAGCAGGGTCCTTGCAAGGAGCCTGATGTGGGATTCGATCCCAGGACCCAGGGATCATGACCTGAGCCAAAGGCAGAGGCTCAACCACTGAGCCACCCAGGGGCTCCTGCAGACAGAACCTTTAAAGAGATAATTAAGTTAAAATGGAGTCATTAGGAACCAAGAAACAGACTCTTAAGTATAGAGAACCCACTGGTGATCACCAGCAGGATAGTGGGTGGAATGATGGGAGAAATAGGTGATGGGGATTAGGATTACACATATCATGATGAGCACTGAGTCATCTACAGAAGTGTTGAGTCACTATATTGTACCCCTGAAACTAATATAACACTGTATGTTAACTAACCAGAATTAAAAAAAAAACTTAAAAAGAAGAATGACTTATATGGATTGTATATTAACCAGTAAACTATTTATTTATTTATTTATTTATTTATTTATTTATTCATTTATTCATTCATTCATTCATTTATAAAAACTATTTAAAAGAGCACTTTTAAACTTCTCATTTCTTTTTAAAATTCTCTTCCACAAAAGTTGATCCCCAAGTATAAAGACTTTTTAAGTATCCTTAAAAAAATGGGGTTGTTAGGGTGGACCTAATCCAGCATGACGGGAGATTAGAACACAGACAGGACAAACAGAGGGATGACCATATGAGGACATATCAAAACGCTGGTTGGGCACCTGGGTGGCTCAGTGGTTGAGCATCTGCCTTTGGCTTAGGGCATGACCCCGGGGTCATGGGATCGAGTCTCACATCAGGATCTCTGCAGGGAGCCTGTTTCTCCCTCTGCTTGTGTCTCTGCCTTTCTCTCTGTGTCTCTCACGAATAAATACCTCCCCCTCCTTAAAGGTGACTATCTGCAAGCCTAGAAGCAAGAAAAAACCCAACCTGCTGACACCTTGATCTCGGAGTTCTACCCTCCAGAACTGAGAAAATAAGTTTCCGTTGTTTAAACCACCCGGTTTGTGGTATTTTTTTATGGCAACCCTAGCAAGCTAGTATAGGTGGGTAAAGGGTATTAACAGAGTTGCAGAAAAGATAGTACAAATGCTTCCTAAACATATTTTGGTTGTGTTTTCACTCTGCAGCTATATTCATAGAACTGGGTGTAAAGGACCAACATGGTAGTCCTATTTGTCCCAGAGGGGTAAACACCTGGGGGGGGGGAATCTGCTTCTAAAAATTGGGGCACCTGAGTGGCTCAGTCGGTTAAGCAACTGTCTTCAGCTCAGGTCATGATCCTGCGGTCTTGGGATGGAGCCAAAAGTCAGGCTCCCTCCTCAGAAGGGAGCCTGCTTCTCCCTTTCCCAGCCTCTCCCCTGTTTATGCTCACTCACTCTCTCCCTCAAATAAATAAATAAAGTTTTTTAAAAAAGTAAATAAAAGATCAGGGATGCCTGGATGGCCCAGCCGATTGAGCATCCACCTTTGGCTCAGGTCATGATCTCAGAGTCCTGGGATCAAGCATGTCTAGCTCTGTGCTTAGTAGGGAGTCTGCTTCTCCCTCTCCTTTTTTTTTTTAAAGATTTTATTTATTTATTCATAGACAGAGAGAGAGGCAGAGACACAGGCAGAGGAAGAAGCAGGCATCATACAGAGAGCCTGACGTGGGACTTGATCCAGGGTCTCCAGGATCATGCCCTGGGCTGCAGGCGGTGCTAAACTGCTGCACCACTGGGGCTGCCCTCTTCCTCTCCTTCTATGCCTCCCCCCACTCATGATCTCTCTCTTTTCTTTTTGTCAAATAAATAAATAAATCTTTAAAAAAATGAGGGGTGCCTGGGTGGGTCAGTTGGTTCAGCATCTGGCTCGTGATTTCAGCTCAGGTCATGATCTAGGGTCATAAGATTGAGCCCCAAGTGGAGTCTGCTTCAGATTCTCTCTCTCCCCCTGCCCACTCCCATCTCAAAATAAATTTTAAAATTCTTCAATAAATGATAAAAACCCACAGAAGTCTCTGGAACTCACCATAGAGACGCAGGAAAAACTCCTTGTCAGTGGTGACTTTAGCATTCTTATAATTTATCTGGGCTTTGTAGGGTCCTGCATCTTCCAAAGTCAGATTGTTGAGAGATAAGGAGTAACTGTTGAAGCTGATGTTTAGTCGGTCCTGGTAGCTTTTGTCCATAATGATAATATGTTTTTGTGCACTTGCAAAAGCAAGAGCTTTTTGGGGACGACTCCAGGTGACGTGCTCCAATTCTTTGTCTACTGAAATGTTCAGGAAGAAAGTCACCGAACCCTCTAGAATCCCTGGCACCTCCATTTGGGCTGAGTCCTTTCCAGAGGCTCCTGGCCCTGCAGAGACAGAAGAGGGACTTGGCGGAGGTGCTGGACTCCTCAAGGCAGCCTTCATTCACTCATTCAATAAAGACACACCAGTAAGAAATGTCAGATGTGGAGAAATGAAATGAAATTCCTGTCCTCCTCCCTCTAGGCTTGTTGCCTAAACAGAATCATTCATTCATTCCCTCACTTAAGAAACACTCTGTCCCACAAACGCATGTACAATAATCAGTAAAACAGACTTTCTAGATTTCTGTCCCAGCAAGGGAATTAGCTTTGTGACTTTGGGTGAATTTTTGCATTTCTCTGAGAATCAGTTTACTCATCCATAAGACTGAAACGTTCACACCTATACTATCTTCCCTTAGGGATATAGTAGAGACGGAATAAAAACAGAGTGCTGTAAATCATAAAGAACAAAAGAAGTTAAAGAGGAGTGTCTTTTAAAAAATAAGATAGGTTGATGTATGGCTAGCAGGGTGGGTAGATGGACAGGGGCATGAGAAGGCAAGCGAAATGACACTAATGGTAGAACTGGGGTGCAAAGCACATGAGTGTTCAGTGCAAAATTCTTTCAAGTGTTCTCTGTGTTCAAGAATTTTCATAATGAAGTGTTGGCGACAAAAAGACACTTCTCATCTCTGTCTCACTCTTCTTTTACTTCATTTTTCAGGGGATCTCAGACTGGCTTTGCCTTGGCCAGGGAAATCTGGTCTTCCTTAGGAACAAGGTTTGGGGTTGGGAATAGTTAAGTAGCATTGATTTTGCTCCTGATTTCATCTTGGGAAAGACCAAGATCCCCGATAAACATTGTTACCACAGCTTCCACAGGCCCGGCATCTGTCCAAGGCAGCTCATTTCCTTGTAGGGGCCCTGGGAGTATCTGCTGGATGACCCCAGTCTGGATTCCCAGATTCAAGGGCTTCTGAGGCTCTGGAGAGTCCTCTGAAAATTCCAGATCAAATTAGATGGGTTCAGGACCCAGATTACTCCAGGGATCTGGGTGGGAAAAATATATAGAAAATGTTAGAGAGACAGGAAAAGCAAAGTACAGCCTAGAGGGGTGGAAAGAGGCTGAGGTGTGCTCCGAAGGCCCAGAGGGTATAGGGTTCTGCAGAGCTCTATAGAAGAGACACCAGATTGGTGCAGATCGGTGCGGGGCTAGGGGGCGGGAAGGTGGTTCTCTACCCGTATCGGTCAAGCACTCAGACTTTGTAGAGAGGTGGCTAGGGAGGACCAAGCTCAGAACCTAGGAAAAGCTAGGCTAGGTCAGTTGAGGTGGATTCTGAGGGGAGTCCGAAGGCAGAAGCTGGGTTGGTGCAATGCTGGTTTGAAGTTACCTGAAAGAGAGCTCTTCCCTTCTGGAAGACACTGCTTATGATTGCTACGGCATGTTAACACTGTAGAAATTACCTCATTCGATCCTCAAAATTATCTGAAAATTAGCCCCTTTCTACAGACGAGGAGCTAACATTTCGAGAGTTTTTGCCACTTGCCCGAGATTACAGGGTTGGTCAGCTGCAGAGCCCAGGTTCCATTAACAAGATGCCCCAGAATGCGGTGGCCCAGAGCGCTGCCCACCCCCATCCTAGGGGGCCAGAAGGTCCTGAGTCTTGGCTGGGCACGTGTGACTGCACCCGTTTCTCCTCACATCAAAGCTAAGCAAAGGCTCACAGACTTGATAGGAGTGGGATGTGGTTCCTATAGGTCCAATCCTATTACTGTCACGGGGAACAATGCTATAGGACTCTCAGTACAGTGACAGAAGTCCCAGTATTGGCCATCTTATTTTGAACTATGCCATTTGGCAAATAATAAAAGGGTATTTATTCAATGATCTCGATAACCGAATTTGGCTTCCCCACCTTTAATAGTTTCCAAATCATGCACTTAGTGATTATTATAACAATCAGTTTCCACCAACTATGTGCCAAGCGCTTGCTTACATATATCATTTTTAATCATTTTTAATCTCGAAGAGAGTCTTGCATGATACATCTCACTAATCACCTTCTACATTTAAGAAACAGAGGCTCACACAGCTAGGACATAATGGAGCAAAGATCTGATTTCAAATGTTTCCGATACTAGGCCCACCACTTTGGAGTATGGACTATTCTGAGCTGAGGGCAATCAAGACCCTGTGGGCTCAAGAGATACTTTTGCCCCTCCCTTAACCACACAGAAGAATCTAAATTCGGGGTCTTTCCCAGATAAGGGTTATTAGCAGAGATAAATTTTATCTGAGTGACCCATCTGTATGGTGGGGCAAATATCTAATTACCAACATCTGCTCTTCTCCACCCTATAAACTACATTCCTTCGCTCTGAAGTCCCAGACCCCTGCCCCCTTCTCCTTAGTTTGGGATGACATATATACCACATTTTGCCCCAACGGTCTTTGGAATTTCCATGTCTGTGTGGTTTCCCATGTGCTATTAAATTTGATTGTGTTGGGGATCCCTGGGTGGCTCAGCAGTTGAGCGCCTGCCTTTGGCCCAGGGCGTGATCCTGGAGTTCCGGGATCAAGTCCCACATCGGGCTTCCTGCATTGAGCCTGCTTCTCCCTCTGCCTGTGTCTCTGCCTCTCTCTCTCTCTCTCTCTCTCTCTCTGTGTCTCTCATGAATTAAAAAAAATTTGATTGTGTTCTGTTAATTTGTCTCATGTCAATTTGATTCTTATTCTGGCTAGAAGAACCTTGAAAGGGACAGGAATTCTTGCTCCCCTAAAAGGGGATGGGATATTCTTTCTCCTTGACATACTAAAGTGGAAAGATTTTTCACCCTCCTGCCTCCTAACTTCCTGAAACCATTCCTTGGAGACACAAGACATCAAAGAAACTCCCTGCTAGACCAAAACAGTGAAGTTTGAGGATACCCCAACCAGTGGAGCTAGTCAGAGGGAAGTGCCTCTTTGACTTGAAATTTGCTTGTTGGTCATCTGAGGCTTGGGTGACAGTAGATTGGGTAACTTCAGGTTTATCCAACACAACCAAGTAGCACCACAAGAGCTGGGTGTAGATATAAACAGCTGTGATACTTGATGTTTTTGTGGGAGCAAAGTTAAGATGGAAAATGAAAAGAGATCATACTGGAACCCAGGCCTGGAGTCTAGGCCCTGCCCCATATATCATCTGGGAGTCCTTCTAGAACTCTCCTCACTGCCCACCTCTCCGACTCCCACTGGCATCTATGCTACCCGTGCTAATAACCTCCAAGGTCCTGGGGAAAACAGGAGTCCAGAGGGACAGTAGATGTCACTGTACCAGATAGCTGAGACCCTCCCTGGGGTACTGGGTCAGCTCTGCCCATTGGCCATCGGCCATGCTGCTGAGAGATGTTTCTCAAAAACTTGCAGGACTTGGGCCTTGATGGAGAGGTAGGATGAGGGGAGAAAAGGACATTCAGAGAGAAGCCACTCAGCCCAGGGCCATGAGACCATCTCCAGATCCCGCAGGGAAGCCTGAAGTTTGGAATGTGTGATAAACATGGCGGGACGTAGAAAGAAGCTCCAACAGTTCTATGTGTCCCTGGAAAAGAGGGGGTGGCCTGTCATCAGGATTTCCCTCTATCTCTCTGTGGATTTTATCCACATTATCCAGAGAACAAATTCATCACTCAGCATTTCTTAGTAGGAAAGTGTGAGGGTGAGAGGAACGTAGTCTGGGGATAAAGGTGAAACATCTGGGAAAAAGTGAAACCCAAGGGGAATTACCACGGGAGAGGAGTTTCCTGATCTTACCAATAAGAACGTGACCAGCCCAGAGAGACGATGGCCGTAGCGGGGACTTACCCAAGAACAGGAAGAGGAGAGAGTTCCATAGAAAAGAAGGGAATGGGTGAGGCTGGCTCTTCCGTGGTTTACTGGAGAAGGGCCATAGAGCCCCGTCACCCGGATGTCTCTTTGGGCCCGCCATGATGATGTGCTCTGAGCTCTCGGGCTGAAAGAGGAAGCTCTTACCACAGCACCCCTGTGTGTGTCAGTGTGTGAGCATGCGTGCGTGCGTGCGTGTGTGTGTGTGTGTGTGTGAGAGACGGGGAGGGTTGTTTGCATCTGGCACCACAGACTCCTCCCCTTGCTCAGGCTGGTGTAGGGGTCCCAAGATCAAGAGTCGCATGCTGGGCACCTGGGTGCCTCAGTGGCTGAGCCTCAGCCTTCGGCTCAGGGTGTGACCCCGGAGTCCCGGGATCGAGTCCCACATCAGGGCCCCCTGCAGAGGGACTGCTTCTCCCTCTGCCTGTGTCTCTGCTTCTCTCTCTCCATGTCTCTCATGAATAAATACAATTAAAAAAAAACAGGGACGCCTGGGTGGCTCAGCAGTTGAACTTCTGCCTTTGGCTCAGGTCATGACCCCAGAGTCCTGGGATTGAGTCCCACGTGGGGCTCCCTGCATGGAGCCTGCTTCTCCCTCTGCCTGTGTCTCTGCCTCTCTCTCTCTCTCTCTCTGTGTGTGTCTCTCATGAATCAATAAATAAAATCTTTAAAAAAAATCTTAAAAAATAAAAATATCTTAAACAAAAAGAGTGCCATGCTTTACTGACTGAGCCAAACAGGCGCCCCTGTAGTCACCTGTAGTCACCTCTTCTTGAGAGTGGGATGGGTGCAGTGACTTGATTCTACTGAGTAGAATGTGGCAGCAGGGCTAAGGTGTCACTTCTGAGATTAGGTTGCACAAGATCGTGTCTTCCATCTTGATGTGTGTGTGTGCGTCTCTCTCTCCCAACCCTGCTCCCTTTGCTGGGACCCAGTATTGTGTTGTGAGCTAAAGGCTTCAAGACAAGGAGCCAGGGAGCCTGCCAGCAAAAACCCACCAAGGAACTGATGTCTGCCAACACTTGCTGAGGACTTGAGGCTGCCAAGAGCCGTGAGGCGAGGCTGGCAGCGGCTACCCTGACGTGACGAGGACTTTGTGAGAGACCCACAGCCAGAGGCACCAGCTGTGCCATGCCTGGATTGCTGATCCACAGAAACTGTGAGATAACAAATGCTTATTTTAAGCTCTCAAATTTTGTAATCTGTTGCATAGTAATTGATAACAAATATCATGGTCCAATGACGTCACTCTTTTGCTTAAGCCCTGACATGAAGCCACTTTGCGTTGGCTTCATGTCACATAAAACTGAGAGACTTTTAACTGATCTGAAGGAAGCACCAGCAAAGCTGCTCTGAGGATGGATGTTGCCAGGGGGCAGCTGTGCACTCGGCAGGTTGGAGGACAGCATTATTCCCTTTACCTTGCTGTGGGAAACTGACTTTTTTCTTTTTTTTTTTTTAATAGATTCCATACCCAGTGTGGAGCCCAACGCAGGGCTGGAACTCATGACCCTGAGATCAAGACCTGAGCTGAGATCAAGTGTCACATGCTTAACCAACTGAGCCACCCAGGTGCCCCTGGAAGCTGAGTCTTTAAATAGATGATATTTAGTGGTTAGTTCAACTGTGACTTGTTGGTGTCGTAATACTCAGATCATATGATTGTTTAGGCTGTAGCCTGAGAGGACTTGGAAAGAACTTATAGGAAAGCCAAACGGGTGGTTTCAAGTGACACTCAGTGACTACTTGTCAGGTGTTAGACCCTCCCCTAACTCCTGACACTCATGGGCTCATTTAATCCACACAATAGCTCTATGCGATAGGTATTTTTATCATCCTCATTTTATAGATGAGGAAACCAGGGCACAAAGAGGCTAAGTAGCTTACTTTGAGTTTTATAGTTAGAATTTGAGCCCAGGAAGTCTGGATGGGAGGGGGAGAGGGGAAGATGAGGGTGGCAGGCATCTTCCACTAGAGGGCATCTTCAGGTCACGGCGGCACCATGCCAGCCTGAGGGTGAGGCTCTTCTGAAATTTTGTGCCGTAGGCCCCTTTCTTGCCTCACGCTAGTCCTGGCCTGTGACTAGCGTGGCACACAGGCCTGGCCTGTGAGCATGGTTGTCTAGAGAGAATCACAGGACACATGACCAGGAGAGGTTTCCGCAGCCCAGATAAAGGGTCTTATAACCCAGGTGCCATGGACTCAATATTTGTGTACCCTCTGTTCTCTAAATTCATATGTTGACGTTTTATCTCCAAGGGGATAGTGTTAGGAGGCAGGGCCTCTGGGAGGTGATTCGGTCACGAGCATAGAGCCCTCATGAAAGAAGCAGACTCCCAGCTCAGCGCGGAGCCCAGTGCGGGGCTCCATCCTGCAACCATGAGATCAGGACCTGAGCCAAAACCAAGAGTTGGACACTTAACCAACTGAGCCACCCAGGCACCTGAGACCAGGCTTTTAGAGGACATCAACAAAGCAGATAAAGGCACCTGGGTAGGTACCACGAGTAGATGTCTCAGTGATGTTTCTGGTCAGTAAGCAACCTTAGTTGGTCGAGCAGGTGCCCCAGAAATATAGCTGGAATCCAGATGACATAACCGTTTCCTTTATGAATCTTTCAGTCCTGGATAGATAAGGAATTCAGAGTAGGCATGTTCAAGGTATCAGTTAGTACTTTTTGTTTACATATATGTGTTATTTGAGACATCAGGCTTACTTAAAAAAATTTTTTTTTGACATCAGGCTTACTAATGTGATAGTTAACTTTGTGGTTCTGATTTGAACTATGCGTTTGAACAACTGATTTACATTTGTGATTTTATTTTTTTAAATTAATACATTTTTTGTTGAAGCATGCTTGGCACACAATGTTACATGAGTTTTGGGTGTACGACATCATGATTGGACAGGTCTATACGTTATGCTGTGCTCACCGCACATGCAGCGGTCATCTGTCACAACACAGCACTATGACAGTTGAATTGAAGTCTATATGAAGTATTGAATATTTGAAGAAAACTTACGAATTGCCATACTAATAAGCTCAATGTACTAAATTTACAAGCCTTCTTGTATTTGGGGAGTCTTATTTATTGATTCAAATACTTTGTCCAAGGTGGGTGGGTGGGATGGGGGTAATAGGTGATGGGGATGAAGGTGTGCACCTGTCGTGATGAGTGCCGAGAGATGCATGGAAGTGTTGAACGACTATACTGTGGACCCGAAACTAACACAACCCCATATGTTGACTCTCGTGGAATAAAAATAATAATACTAAAAATATATTTATATCTTACGTCTTAAAAAAAGAAAAGCAGAAGAACTCTATCATAAGGTCTGTTTTCAACTCTGAAAAAAAACGAAAGTCCTTTAAAAGGAAACTAAATGCATTACGTTCAATAGTGAGATTTAAAGTCCTTAAATAAATCCATTTATAAATTTGTAATGTGTCAAATATTATCAATAGCCTCTCAAAAGGAGGTTAAGGGCTGCCTCATTTGTAAATGGAATATGATTTACAAGCTGAACTGCCCTTGAGACTGGTCAAAGTTTAAAAATTTTTTTTTGGTAAATTTAATATGAATTCTTAAAAGCAATAAAGCCTATGGATAATTTTTTTATGCACAAAAACCATTTTCAAGGAAATAAATGATAATGGGGAAGTCTTCTTGGGAAGTAGTTTGCTAAGATCATAGGTAAGCAGCAGAGGCATGTTTTAAATCAGAAAGCTTCATATCCACACCACTGTACCCACCCCCAAGGCTAAAGCATCCGACTTTGTTTTTCCATCAACATGATTTTCTTTCCTACTAGCCTGTGAGCAACATGGTTGTAGAGACTTCCTTTCATCTTTCAGGCCCCTTGTCACAGTGCCTTTGTGGCACCCAGCAAGAGCTGGTATGTATGAGGAATAAATGAGTGAGGAGGGCTCAGTGAGAATGGTATCCAGACGTCCAGGAGTGGAGAGAATTTCAAGTAGGGAGGGTCCCAGTGTCAAACTTAATTGGCGCTCCTATAGGATAAGGACCAAAGAGTCTATAAGCTATGACCAAGGGGAGGTCATTGGTGACCTTTTTCAAAGCAACGTGTGGATTCTCTTCAACAAGTCTTGTTGGGGCACCTGACCTCCATTCATTGAAGGCCAGGGAGATACTTGTCAAAGTCTGAGAAGTAAGGGGCCTGATGGGAGACACTAGTCACAATGACATCCTCATTGACATGTCAACTGTCTGCAGAGCCTAGCAGAGCCACAGGGACTATTTGGTGTAGAGAGGTGGGGAAGCGAGCATCACACCTGTGTCTCCTCTCCTCTTTCCCTCCCTCTACCCATGGATCAGGACTTTCATGCAACTCTTTCAGTCATATCACCAAAAGCACAAAATAACAAAATAATATCTGACCTCATCGTTTGTGGTTGGAGGTAGAGGTGGTCCTAAAGGTCTTATTTCCTGGATTTTTCCTACCCTGTTTCTGTGCTAAAGAAGCTACAGCCAGCAGCCTGTGCTTTCCTCCTTTCTGTCTTTGGGTCGTTCTGGGCTCGCTCTTCTCTGCCTGCTGACTCAATGTCTGCTATGCACTTAGCAATCATGTAGGAGCTAAGCCCCTACTACGTGCTGACACTGAGCTAGTCAGTGGGAATTGAAAGATGAGAAAGAAAGGCTAGGGTGAGGTGGGTGAGGCAGGTGGCAGAGATTAGGGCAATCCAGTAAGCAGATTTGATGGAGTCAATTTACAGGGCTGAGAAAGCCCAAGGCATTTTGGGAGAAGAGACTAGAAATAGTCTGCCGTGACTGGAGTTCAAGACCAGAGAAGTGGTGACATGGCATGAGGCCAAGGTTGACGAGAAGCAAGAGAATAGGAAAAGCTTCGTCTACCAGAGCTGTGAGCCTGGACTTTACCTTGTAGGAGTGGGGGACTTCTGAAGGGTTTATAGCATGGCTGTGACATTATCAACTTTGACTTGGAAATAGCTCCCCTGGTCTTTTTCTCATGTGTCCCCTCATCTCTACCTCTTGTGACTCCAAAGCTACATGTGATTATTGCGGTGAACTCTAAAAGGAGGAAGTGTTTGTGGGCTGACATTTACACGTCCACGTTGGCCGG